TTAGGTTCATGTTTAAAGCCAATTAATTAATTTGAATTTGTGCACTGTATGTGTGTGTGTGTGAGAGAGAGCCAGCCCGCTCTGCAGTATTGTTGCTGTAATTACGGCTGGTTCCTTGACGTTCCCTCGGTGCCCGGCTCCCTATCGCAGAGATGAGAGGAGAAAGTGACACCCTCCCTCACATGCTCTCCTTGGGGAACACTTATCAAAACAATACGCCAGCCGTCATTCAAACACAGCCCTGCATACTCTGCCACTTTGAAGTCTCCCCGTCCTGTTGTTTTTTTAATCCCCCTCGCCTTTTTCTCCCAATGTAATCCCACTGTAACTGCGGGGATTCTCCACAATTCAGACCATTTGTTCAACACAAACACAACACTTCATCAACAAATAACAATATGTTGAGAGCAACTATTGAATAGGAGGCTGAGTCTAAATGGGTTCAAGTGCTGGCACTGCCATGCATCTCTGCCTCTGCGTTGCCAATCCCTGTAAAAAGTTAATGTAAGCAGGATTCACAGGGAGCTGCTGGTGATGAAATTATGGTGTAACTGATACCAATGTGCCATAGTAGAGGAGTGCATGGCCGCCTGTGTCTTTGAAGGAGGTTCTTCCCATCCCACGATGCACTGCTGGAGAGGGGCTCCTATATGGTTGTACAGTACAAACGGACAGATGGAGGGCAATACTGCACAAAAAGCAGGCAATCGTTTTGCCGCAATACAGAAAAAGGCTGCAAGTCGAAGGAATTCATTGTGGATTCACTATTGCACACAACGCTGAAATCTGTGGACTCTGCTGTAAATATACATACACACAGTGTGGGAGGTTACATCTGTGCCAAGGTCATTTTAAATTGTGTTTGCATACAAATATTTATTGTTTAGTTCTTCAAATCTGCAGTTCATAATCTGATTTGGAACTTTGAGCCAAAATGTTTAAAATGTGCACTCAAGTGTGTTAGAATTTAAAATATGATTGAGTTCATCATTTAAAATTTGTGTTTTGTATTGCAGAATATTTACTCCTAAATCGCAGGTTTTCAGTTGGAAAACACACACACACACACAAAAACAGTGTTGTTGATGCTGATCTAAACAGGGGATTTGTTAGAGGTTATGAAACAGGCTACATATAAAATTCTTGCAGGGGCATTGCACTCATCACCACAACTTTTCCTGATCTCCGCGACCTAGGATGATTACAAATTCATGCGCGACTAAAGAGGTGCATCATGCATAATAAAAAACTGCACCGTCTGCAAAAAATGGCAAGACGAACACTGTAAACAATGGGGGTGTAAGAGCTCTGAGGGGGAGGCCGTAAAAACCCACGGCTACAGGGATGCCAAAAACATGTTTTTTCGAGAGGGGTGAGCCAGTGTTGCCTATTACTATAGCAACAGGAAGACCTGGCTGCTTCAATCAGCTTTTGGTTCGTTGGGGAGGCAGAGGATAGGCAGAGGAGTTCCAGCCGGGGAGCCGCGCAGAGCCGTCCTGGTTTTACTAATGAGGGCAGTGGGACACGCCGGGTGTCAAACAGCCTGTCCGACCTCCACACACAGCCTGCCTGTCACACACTGCCCGTCAGGCTGACACTGAGCAGCCTGGAGGTTAGGTGCAGGGAGCACAAACAGAGTGAAAGCCAGGGGAGAGAGACACTAAATACACCTGATTAAAGGGAGAGCTGTTACCTGTTGTGGTCGTTATCACAGTACAGATGGATAATTAGACACATTTCAGAGGTTAACACACACACACACACACACACACATTTTATTGTGTTTGAATTGCTGTCACCAGAGAGTAGCACAGTCTGTAAACTTAAGCTGGGATCAGTCACTTTGGGATGGAGGTCTGTCCTCCAGCAGCTGGGAGTGACAGATTTCTGAGAACGTCCACATTTTGTGTGTAATTAACCTGTGCCATTCTTATGCTTGCAGCCGTCGCAGGTTTATATGCTTCATTAAACCTCATGATTAAATGAAGCTGCTGTTAAATAATCATGAGATCAGCTTTATAACGGCATCAGATTGCAGAGAGTGGCAGCTGACAACTGTTTCTCTCTTTCTCTCTCTCT